AGCCTAATTTATGAAGTGTATATATACTGAGTTGTAATTCCTTACACATTAAGAAAGAAATATACAAGGCTTCTTTCTCACCTGGTATTAACCGCCTCTCTGATCCCCCTTTTTATGTGCAATTTGATCGGCAATTGTCATTTTTGATCTCCTTCTTTGATTCTTTTCTTCAATTCATGGCGTCGACAAGCTTTTCTCCTTTACATCCTGAAGTTGTTGCTCATATAATTCAACGCCTGAAATTCCCAATTTCACAGCAATGAACCCTCATTCCATCACTATTCAAAATATCAATTGTATGGTACTGACAAAGCTAAAGCGTGACAATTATCTCATTTGAAAAACTCTATTTGCTCTAATTTTTCGGCGATACAAACTTACTGGTATCATTGATGGATTTGAGCTCTGTTCACCATCTTATATTCTTGATCAATTTGGTCGATGTACTAGAATTCCTAATCCAGATTTTGAAATGGGGTAGGAAAAGGATCAAAATATCCTACTTTGGCTAAATTCTACACTCTTCGAATGATCACCGTCGGTGTCACATCTTTTCATGACCTCTGGATGAATCTCGAGCAACGTTTTGGTAGTGTCTCTGCATCGCACATTCTTCAACTTCGATCTCGCCTTCATTCTGTTAGCAAAGGTGATTTGGCTATTTTTGAGTATTTACAATGAATCAAAGGCATTTCTGACTCTTTTATGGTTGCCGGAGCTCCTGTCTCCGATCATGATCTTATCGTTGTCACACTAAATAGACTTCCTGGTGAATGCAATTTTTTTATTGACTCTATTATGCTTCGCATTTCTTCTACCACGTTGGATGAACTTCATGGTCTCCTACTGAACAAAGAGGTCTTTATGAATGGCAAGAAAAAAGGGCTGGCCTCTTCCATTTCAGAACTATTTCAAGCTAATGCTGCTCAAACTCAGGCTCCTTTACTTCTTACACCACCGTTCTATCCTTTTCCACATGCTTAGCAATTGAATTCCAATGCTCCTCCAAAGTATTACAACAACAACAAATATCATGGCAAAGGCTAATTTCAGAGAAATAATTGTGGTAACTTTCATAAGAATTTCAATAAATCTCGAGGAAATGTTCATAATTCTGTTGGATTTGGTGGTAACTTTAGAAATAATTCTAGCCATGGTTCTGGTAACTCCTTTCACAACTCTAGTGCCTTTAATCGTAATAATTCTGGTGGAAGAATGCAATTCTTTTACGCATGAAGCAACTGATTGTTATGAATGCATGAGTTATGCTTATGATGGTAAAATCCCTCTTGCAAAATTGGCTGCTATGTGTGCTTACAATACTTCCAAGTCTTCTAATCCCACTTCCCACTTGGTTGATAGATTCAGGAGTTACATCTCATATTATAAATGACATGTTCGCAATTCAATCTCGCATTTCTTATTTTGGTGAAGACAAGGTGTATATTGGTGATGGATAAGGTATAACTACCCATCACACTGGCAATTCCATACTTAAAACACCTCATGCTACTTTTTGATCGAACAATATTTTGCATGTACCTGAGATGTAATTTAGTCTATTATCTGCTTACCAATTTGTACTTTGACCCTTGATTTTGATGGTTCATCTATCAAGGATTGTATTTCGGGGATGAAGCTTTCTCGAGGGCCAGTTAAAGATGGCTTTTATCCTATTTACAGATCCCTCAGCATCTTTCTCACATTCAGTTCTTCTAAGTATTAAAGCTTCTTTGCAGCTTTGGCATAAGAGACTTGGCCACCCTTCTACTGCTATATTTCGAAAGATTTTACATAGGACTAAACTTGCTCATAGTGGTGACAAGATTGTTAATTTCTCATGTAAAGATTGCACTATAGGTAAAAATCACAAGCAATCTTTTTCTTCTAGTACTTGTCATGTTTCTACTAGTCTACTTTTGATCCATTATGTTGTTTGGGGGCAGCTCCAGTCACTTCTGTTAGTGGATACAAATATTATGTGTTTTTGTTGATGAGTTTAGGGGCCAGCTCCAGTCACTCTTGGTAGTTTCCTCTGAAAGCGAAGTCCGAAGTTTTTCCTATCTTTGTAAACTTCAAATCTTATGTTGAAAATATGATTGGTAATAAAATCAAAATCTTGTGATTTGATTCAGGGGGTGAATTCACCAGTTTTGCCTTTTAATTCATTTCTTCTAAGTCAAGGAATATCTCATCAATATAGTTGGCTTCACACACCAGAGCAAAATGGTTGTGTTGAGAGGAAACATAGGCATCTTACAGAAATAGTAAGAACTATGTTGGTTTCTTCTTTGGTTCCTCACAAACTTTGGGTTGAAGCATTTTCCACAGCACTGTATCTTATAAATTGATTGCCTTCTCTCAGTTAAACAAGTCTCCATGGGAACTTCTGTTCAAAACACCTCCAGATTACTACAAGTTGAAAGTGTTTGGCTGTAGTTGCTATCCTTGGCTAAAGCCATATGTTTCTTTAAAGTTGGAAGGGAAAAGTACACATTGTGTGTTTCTTGGCTACAACCTTCAACACAAAGGCTACAAATGCTTAGACCTTCAATCTAAAAGGCTATACATTTTAAGACATGTACTTTTCCATGAAGCTCATTTTCCCTACCATGATTCTCAGTTGCTTTCTAGATTGCATGCCTCTCAGCAATCAAGTGCTTCAGACATGTCTTCATCATTCACTTTTCCATTTCCTACACAATTCCCTACCTTTCAAACTTCTAGTGCATCTCCGAACTTAATAAGTGTCTCTCAGCTATCAAGTGCATCTCCACAATCAAATGCTTCTCAACAATCAAGTGCATCTCAAAATTCCCATGCCTCTCAGCAATTCAGTGTTTCTCCATAACTTAATGTCTCTCAGTCTCAAGATATTTCTTAGCCTACAAATGCTTCACTATCTAAACAATCCAGTTTGCCATCATTTCAGCAATCACATGTTTAGGGACTTAATCTTATCAACTCTTATCCTGTGGTAACAAGGTCCAAGGCTAGCATTTTCAAGCCTCTTTTTGCTACAAAACATCCTCTTGATCTTGTCAATTTTGTGCCTACTACTTATCTACAAGCCATGAAAGAAGAATTTCAGGCCCTTCAATCTACTTGCACCTTCCTCTCCAAGTCAAAATTTAGTAGGATGCAAATGGGTATTTTGAAAAAAGAAGGAAGCCCGATGGTACAATTGACTGATATAAGGCTCGTTTTGTGGCCAAAGGGTTTCATCAGCAGGAAGGAATTGATTTTCAAGGGACTTTTAGTCCGGTTGCAAAGCCAGTTACTATCAGAATCCTATTAACTCTTGTTGTTCAATATGATTGGTTCCTTAATCAGGTGGATATTAGAAATGCATTTCTTGATGGCAATTTGAAAGAAGAGGTGTTTATGCAATATCCTCCTGGATTCATTGATTTATCTAAAGCCATCCTTGGTTTTCAAACTCCAAAAGGCCCTCTATGACTTAAAACAAGCTTTTCGGGTCTAGTATGACAAACTCTTCAATACCTTGCTCTCTCTTGGTTTTAAAAACTCCCAGTCTGATTGCTCTATATTTGTGCAAACTCAACCTTCTGCTGTGATCGTATTGGTGTATGTTGATGATATACTAGTCATTGGACTTAATGCTGCTCATTGTCAAGCTCTCAGTTTCCTGTAAAGGACTTGGGTTCTCTCCACTATTTTCTTGGCTTAGAAGTTTAGAGATCCAAGCAAGGTATTCTTCTTGTCAAACTCATATCGAAGGAAGTAAACCCTGTACAACTCCTCTTGGCACTACAAAATTGGATCATATTGGTGAATTGTTATTTGATCCCAAGAAATATAGATCCATAGTGGGAGGCTTACAATATTTGACTTGGACAAGACCAGGCCACTCATTTTTAGTAAATCAAGTTTGTCAATTCTTTCATTGTCCCAGAGACACATTTCCAAGCAGTCAAATGTATATTGAGATTTCTCAAGGTTCTATTGATCAAGGGTTATGGTTTAAAATGGGTGCACTTCTTCTCATAGCCTTCTCTAATGCAGATTAGGCTGGTTGACGATCTACCAGTGGTGACAATGTATATTTAGGCAACAACCTTATCAGTTGGAGTGCTAAAAAGCAACATAATGTTGCTAGATCTTCCACAGAGGCTGAGTATAGGTTTGTTGCCCACATTGCTGTTGAATTAAATTGGATTAGCAAAATTTTTAGGGACATTTCATTTCCTCTTTCTTAGGTTCCAAAGATTTGGTGTGATAATGTTTTTGCGATATCAATGGCATCTAATTCTGTTTTCTTTGCTCGTACTAAGCATGTCGAAATCGACTATCAGTATATAAGGGAGCTTGTTCTTGCAAATTTGGTTAGAGTCATGTATATGAATGCTCAATTTCAACTTGTAGACATTCATACCAAGTCATTGTCAAAGGCACAGTTCAAGTTTTTCAATCCAAGCTATCTTTGGGTTCCCCTCCCTTTAGCTTAAAGGGGTGTAAGGGGACAACTCATACTTAGGCTTATTACTTAGCTTGTACAACTGTATTTTTTGTTATAGCTATTGTGTAACTAATCTTAGTCTTAGTGAGTTAATTAAGCACAATTAGTTACTAAGCCTCATTTATGAAGTGTATAATATACTAAGTTGTAATTCCTTACACATTAAGAAAGACATATACAAGGCTTCTTTCTCACATGTCGAACATAATTTTATGCACTCCTCTTTACACTTCTTGCAACTTTTTAATAGCCATTGGATTGAATAATTAAGCACAAGATTGTAGAATGTCAGAAGAGAGTGTGGAAATTACTTTCCATTTAATAAGTCTAGTCTCGACATTTATAAGTTCTCCAAACAACGGCAAGCATATTTGTTTAGTTGAATTAGTCCATTCTAAGCGAAGCCAACAAATAGGTTAGGGTCAATTGTTCTTAATTGTGTCTTTTGGAAGAAATTTGGTCATGAAAGGCAAGACGGGCCTTTTCATATAACTTGAATTTAATGCTTAATTGTAGGTTTAACATTTAGAAGAAGTGTGTTAATTTGTTTTTTTTGTTTTTGGAAAATGGGTTACCTTATTACTAAAACACAACATAATTACATAATAGAGGCCCAAATACATAAACCACAGAAGCAAAAGAAGGACCTCCGTTGTAACCCAATAGCCCAAAACGTAGTTTTGAGCCCAAAACAGAAGCACACAAACAAACCCTAACAGCTTCCTCCATGCGCTGCCGCCGGAAGCGTCGCAATAGCACAAATATCACCTTAGAGATGGAAAGAAAACAGATTTCGTCCTTTGTCAGATGCATACCGCAGATATCAACCACCAAGTGATAGAAACCGAAGAAGCTTGTGGGATTTCCACAAGCAACACTGCCAAAAAAGGCAGACATGGAGAAGGTGGTGGTGTGATCACCCGAGCCGGTGAAAACATTGGAACTCTACGCACCTTCTCGGTGAAAGGCAAAAGCAGATTGCGGCTAAAAAAGGTTGTAGATCGGAGCGGAGAGGGAATCCATGGAAGACAAAAGAACATGCAGATGAAGGTATGGAAGGGGGACATTGCAGATGGGTGGGTGAGCGGATGGGGAGATGTTGATTGGTTGAAGGGGAAAAGAAATCAGATCTGAGGGCTGATTAGCTAATTCTATAGATTATCTAATTCTAAACTTTGCTGTATTTAGGTTTGGATGCATTACAAAAGATAAAGGCAGAGGATGATTCAAGCTTGAGCTACAGAAGGTTATGCAGGGAAGGAATTTGTGGGTCATGCTCCATGAACATTGATGGAACCAACACTGTGGCCTGCCTCAGGACCAAGGCCACCACTATCACCCCTCTTCCTCAATTTGAGTAGTATGACCATGTTAGTTTATGTATCTGTGTGATGGATTGGTGTTTGTTTGGCAGTCGAGACGAGTGTACTGAGCCACAATTGCAGGCATTGACAGAAGACCGCACAAGGCTATATAGATGCAGGACAATAAAGAATTGCACAGCTACTTGCCCGAAAAACCTCAATCCAGCTGGTGCCATCAACAAAATGAAGAATAAGCACTTGTCTCAGCCAGTCGAAATGGTTGAGGATCAAGGATATGTTGTCTCAACCAGACCAGTTGGTTGAGAGCTTCTAAACATGTATATGCAAGGGGCTCCCATAGAATATAGAGATGTAAGCCAGTCTAGTAACGCATCTCTCTATAACTGAAAGACAACTACATGTGTAAAATAAAATAACCATAATTGGAGGACTCTGTAGTAAACTTAATTTTGGGACAAGACACACAAACACAAACATATTCTAAAGGGTTCCGGACTTGGATGCAAAGAGGTTGCGCACATAATTACTCTTAAATATGAACAGATTAACTTTGGTAAATTCTTATGAAGCCTTGGAAGATTGTGTGGGTCATAAATAAAAACCAGGCATTCCAGAGGGCGAAATGATTTTTATTTGCTGAAGGAGTGTAAATAAGCTTCGTCTGTCAATGTACAGTATAGGGGTGGGCTTGGTTCCGTTCGGTTCGGTTTTTTGCCAAAACCGAAAACCGAACCGAAATTATTGTTCAGGTCGGTTCGGTTCGGTTCGGTTCGGTTTTCAATTGGTTTGTATTTGGTTTGTATTCGGTTCGGTTTTGGTCCGGTTCGTTCTCTCTCTCTCTCTCTCTCTCTCTGGGTTTCCAAGTAGCTAAAAAAATTTCTATGAAAAATTGAAAACAACTTGCAGCCATTTTGTAATAAGTCTCATTTCAACATAATCATCAAAAACATTCCAAATTTCTAATAAAATCGTCAAAGACAATGAAAATAAATATTCAATTCAAAGTTCAATTATAATCAAGTCTTTCAATGTCCAAAGTTAAATAAACATCAAAGTTCAAATCTTCCAAAAGTAACTTAAAATAAACATCAAAATTCAAGTCTTCGACATATAAAATAAACATTTCAAAGTTCAAGTCTTCCACACCTAAAATATCATTCTTTATGTGCTGAAGTGATTTTGGAAGGTGTCCCCACATCTGTCTTCGTAGTCTTATCCCTCGAAACTCTTCTTATGCCTTAATGTAAACCACCTATCACCTTCTCACCATATGAAGCTAGAGACCTAGAAAAAGAAAACGGCATACAATGGTAACAGTGAGAAAGATGCTCCCTTTATATTCTTTCAGTGCATTCAATACATTTAGATGGGTTAACATTAACACATCTATCAGAGTTGTCTAAAAACGTATTGCATAAAAATTATAGAGATCAAATTCGAATAAAGATGAAAATTTTACAGTATTCTTGATGAAGTACAAATGCATAGAAATCAAATTGTCCAGTATAAGAATGGTATGAGAGTGATTTTGAAATGATATAAGACTTACATACTTTCAATGTGCGATCCACCTACTTTTTCAATGACAATTTGCTTGCTAATGCTTGGGTGGCCTAGGGGGCAACATGACACCTTTTTTTGAACTTCCACTTGCCATTTCTACATACAAATAATAAAAGAAAGGATACTAATTAAAATGTTATTTAAAATAATCTAACAAAATCAAATGCAATAAATAAAATTACCTTTCTCAACTTCTTCACAAAACTCCATCTCCTCAATGGTTGGCTCATGATGTAATGCAACATGAATGGACCTAAGCCAATTTTGAGTACGTATCAAAGCCTCCACCATTTTTGGACTTAAAGAACTACGATATGGATCAATTATTCGTCCACTTGTACTAAAGGAGGATTCCGAAGCAATGGTTGATACGGGAACAGCTAAGATCTCTCTTGCAACACATGCCAAAATAGGGTACTTAGAAACCCCATTCACCCTCCACCAATTCAATATATCAAAGTTCTCATCTTCTTCTCCTTCATTAGGATCAGAAAGATACTTGTCGACATCATTATGCACAACCCGGGCTCTCTTTGCTTTTCTCATTTCACTTTTTTCTTTCAACTTTCTTTCTATTTCGGTCATGCTTAATGAAGAGTCTCCACTTGTTGTTTGAGAACTACCACCACCACTTATACTTTGTTGTGTACTCAAAGACATATCTTCATGAATCTTGTAAAAATCAATCAACAAGTCTTTCACCCCATTTGTGGCACTTTCAACTTTTTCTTCATCCTCACCAAATTGTATCTCAAAATAATCAACAACTTTCTCTAATTTGTGGTGAGGATCACGCACAAGTGCAATAAAAAGATATCGATTCATGTCCTTAAGTGAACCCCAATACTTGTCATATTTTTCTTGCATCAACTTGGAGATCATAGACAAAAGTTCATCATCTTTGTTTTCATGCAAGAGACTTTTGATCTTAAACAAATCACCAAAAGTAGTATGAACGGTTGGAGTATTAGAACAACATACTTTTAAAGTGACTTCATAAAAAGGTCTTAAAAGATTGCAAATATCCCCGCCTCACTCCAATCATCCATCGAAGGTGGCCCCTCCCTCATATTATCATGATTGTCTTTAACAAAGTACGGAAGGTAATGACCATCATCTACTTTTAATCTATCAAAAGCCATCTTGAACTTTAAAGCCGATTCCAACATTAAAAATGTGGAATTCCACCTAGTAGGGACATCCAAAATCACAAGCCCTTTGCTCTCTATTCTCACTTTCTCAACACACCTTTTAAAGCTTTCCAACCTTTGAGGGGAAGATCTTACATACCTAACCGCATTACGAATGCTTTGTATAGCCATATTCAACAACTTTATCCCATCATTCATAACCAAATTGAGGATATGAGCAACACACCTCATATGCAAATATTTTCCATCATGTAAGAGTGCATTAGGAATCCCCCACCCACTTATTCGGTGCACCAAGTCCCTTAAACCAGAATCATTTGCGGAAGCATTGTCAACCGTAATGGTTAACACCTTCTCTATACCCCACTCCACTAAACATTCCTCCAAAAGTTGAGCAATGGACTCTCCTTTATGATTTGGAAGGACACAAAAATTCAAAATCTTTTTATGTAACATCCAATCATCATCAATAAAATGGGCGGTGAGAACCATGTAATTGATTTGTTGAATAGAAGTCCATGCATCCGTTGTTAGACACACCCTAAATGTCTTCAATTGACTCTTCAATTTATTCTTTTCGGAATAAAACAAGCTAAGTACATCCTTAACAATTGTCTTACGACTAGGCATTCTCCACATAGGACATGCTTGCATGCAAAAACGGCGAAAACCTTCTCCCTCAACAAAAGTAAAAGGCAACTCATCTATAATGATCATCTCAACACAAGCCTTAGTTACTTCCTCTTGACAAAAACCTATAGCTTCCAACTTATCTTTCGTGCCGGCAAATGTTAAGATCTTTTGCCTATTTGCGGCAAATATTTCCTTATTAGGACCGTAGCTTCTACATCTTGCTAGATGGTTTCTTAAATTAGTTGTACCATTTTTATCCGGGTCGGCCATATATGATTGGGCGCAATACTTGCACAACCCCTTAACTTTACCACCCTCAATTTTTCTATCAAAGTGCTCCCAAACTGAAGACCTTTCATGACTTTTTAATGATTCCAAAAGAGCTTCTTCTTTACTTACTTGGTCACTTGCGTCACCTTCTTTTGGAGTTGCATCAGAGGGATTTCCGGATCCACTAAGAGAAGTAGGGGTTTGTCGAGGTGCCATCGCAGTGTTTTGAGGCGGAGTTGATTCACCAACAATGTCCATCTAAAATAAGAGAATCATACAATTAATTATTCAAATAAGATGGGATGGTTACTCTTATCATTACAATTAATGAATTAATTATTAAACATAAGGGATAAAGTAATAGAAACTAGAAAGATATGAGTATGACTACTTACTTCCGATGGTATACTCGAAGATGAGTTCGTTTGATCATGAGGGCTAGTTGATTTTGATCTCACTGAGTTTGAACTTGAGCTTGAGCCCCTTGAGACCTTTGACGCCTTTGACTTCATCTAATTCACACAAAATAATAAGAAGATAGTAGTTAGTACTACAAACTTAAATGTTAATTAAAATATGGAAGGTCAATGATACAAAATCAAGACAAAATATGGAAGGCCAATATATATATATATATATAACCTGCAAACAAAATCTTCACAAGAACTACTCCACAACAACCACAGAGAATATGGAAGGCCAATGATACAGAATCAAGACAAAATATGGAAGGCCAATATATATATATATATATATATATATATATATATATAACCGCACCTATTTATAATAACCTAATCCTACAACTACTCCACAACAACAAAGGCAAGAATCAAACTCCCTTCACAATATATATATATATATATATATATATATATATATATATATATATATATATATATATATATATATATATATATACCTGCAACTAAAACTTATAGTGATTTTATAGTAGAAAGGGCTGATTGTACAACAACTCCACAACTTGCAGCCATTATATATATAAAAGAAGTACTACTGCCCCCTGATTGGTGGTCACGATGATGATCAAGTAATAGTAATCTTTGCCTCAACAGTCAGTCAACCAACAACATTTTCAAGTTGATATTTAAAAATTTAAGCTCAAAACATGCTGCTGCTATAACATTATAAACAAATATGCTGAACTGTTGAAGTGCTCAACAATTAAAGCCTACAAGGGTTCCAAGAAGCAACCACAGAGAGCAAACATTCAAACAAACAACCACAAAGAGCAAACATTCAAACACATCAGATAGGTGGTCTATTGGAAACAAATTAGTTGTTGCCTCTTATCTAACCCATAGAAAACAAGTCGGCATAAATTATTTGTTAGACATCAATCATACAGATTACAATCTGACAACAATTTGTTGCTCATTTCTATTCAGGCTTTTGCAAGGGCCTAACAAGGCGCAAAGCTGCAAGTCGATAAGCTTCATCTCAAAAGCCTAGGCCACCTAAGTTTATCCAGATTGCTTATTAATTTCCTTATGTTCATCCAGATTCAGAGTCAATCATGGGAACAAGATGAATCTCTAACCCTAGGCCACCTAAGTTTAGAGGTCATGAGCTCAAATTCAATTCAATTACTTTCTGAAGCATAAAAATACTCAATCTCTTATTACAACTCAATCAATATTTTCAATAAAATACAAATAAAATCTCTAAAACTGTAAGTAGAACAGAAAATTAAACGTGAGAGTGTGAGTGAGACTATTAGACTAACCTTTTGCTGTGATTGAGAGTGAGAATTCGTCGGTAGGAATGAGAGACACAGAGAGAGAGAGGCTGTTGTTGCGACTTGTGAGAGAGACAGATGAGGCTGCTATGAAAGGGAATGAGAGACAGAGAGGCTGCTGTGCTGCGAGAGAGACAAATGAGGCTGCTGCGACTGCGAGGGGGAATGAGCGATAGA